CACAGTTGCAGAAAGTAACTGGATATTTGGTAGAAAGCAAACATAGTGCAGTGCATTACAATGGTTACAAAAAAGGAAACTACGGTCCTAATTCACTATTACGTTTGATTAAACGAACGAGCTACCAATATCTGACCTCAAAACATGGATGTCTACCGGGGTCCCTCTGCTCCTTGTGGCCCCTGGGGCCCTTTCAAAGGGGTCCAAAAATGCGCTAGATTAACATGTGAGGTACTGAAACCACTTTAAGGTGAAAAGGTATGTCACACACAGTTTACCTGGTGACCTATGCTAGACAAATTCTCTGCGGCTAAGGGCCGTCAGACACCCTTAATTAAAGAGCCTTAATATTTAATCCAAGTTCAACATTCGAGGTACCACACGGAACTAGTGTAAGAATTTCGTACAAGTCCCCCGGAATATGGAATAAACAATGCCAAATAAATTCCCTGCTGCAAAGGGACCGCCACAAAGCCCTTAGTTCATATTTAACCTAGGTTAAACAATCGATATATGTACATCTATTTCTCTATCTAAATCTTTACACATCTCTAAATTAAGTTCTGTCTCTGTATCTCTCTCTTCCTTTTTCCTATCTTCATTTTGTCCTTATCCCCCTCTCTTTATCCCTCACACTTGCCTGTGTGTTTATGTGCATGTGTTGAAGTGTGTGTGGGATGTAAGGTTAGGGCTTAGGGTTAGACGCTGGACAGAGACAGGAGTCGTGAGCGATGTCCTCCAGACCTCGTAATGTCACTGTTATTACATAGATAGCTAGACATCTGTACACTATGTTGTTTTATATTGCTATGTCAAGAATAAAGGTATCACAAAAACTTTTTTGAAAAAATAGGAGGTTGAATTATAGCACCAACATGATATGAATAAATTCGTACCGTACGGCTTATGGTCGGAGCTACAGTCTGTATGTATATCGGAAATTTAATCATATTGGAATATAGTATTTGTAATCATGCTATACCTTTGTATATGTTCATAACCGAATGTCTTTATTCTCATCTTCTCTCTCAGTAGAGAGGCCTTTGTTTACATCTAGTATGGTAGATCGGGCAGATGCTCTGAATACTATATCCAAGATTAAAGCACCCTGGACACAAGTTGTCTTTCCAATCAACCTATGTGACATGTGAACATGCTCAGTCATTCCCCACAATACACAAATCACACGGTGAGCCAGGCATTCACAATACTGTATGTCATACACGTCTTCCCAGATGTCAAAAACAAATTAAAAAAGGACGAAGAGATATCGAGACTAGCGAGAACTCCATGCAAACAGATGTTATGAATCAATTATATCCTTTCCATGGAACGCTCAAACTTATCACTCCTGTCACTGACTCAGACTTACAGAAGGCGGAGCCACGTCCTTGCATCTCGCTATAAATAAAGAGCGTCAGTTGTATCTGTTACAGTTGTATCTGGACTTCCCGAAGTTCAGCGAAGGTGAGAACTACACTCAGCGGATCACCGCTGCCATAGACCAATAGTTGTACTTCATACTCTAGTTTTGCTTAACTTTTTGAAGCATTTGCTTACAATCTGATCCAAAGTGTTATAAGACACTATAATCCCTATTTTAATAGCATGCCAGTGAAAAATATAATGAAGAGCCATAGTTAATATGAATTAAATTCCATTTTTTCATGCATTAGCCCGTTGATCAAGGTGAACAAATTTTCGAAAATAATCTTACTGTCGGTTATACTGCTGATATCGGACAGAAGTGTAATAATATTTTCCATATTATTAAATCACCTCCGCCAAGGAGGTTTTGAGTTTGGTAACGTTGGTTAGTTGGTTAGTAGAATAACTGACATATTTATGAACAGACTTTTGTGAATAGCCATAGATATGTCTTAACCTAAGTTAGACGTCATTTCATTTTGGTTGTGATCGGGATCGTGATACAGATTCAGGTGCGAGATAGGGAAATGCGAAAGAGGTAATTTTCATGTAATTTTTAAAGTGTGATTTTTTTTATTGCATCAGTGAGCCTATTGCTTTGGCGGAGGTTTGCACTCTGGGTGCTTCTCGTTTCTGGTGTCACTGTTCAGCGTCCCACTTAGCAGTCTGCGAAGCGTGCGACGCAATTCTGGTCCAAGAAGATTCAGTGTTTTTAAAAAGAGCCGTTGAAATGTCAAGTAGAAAAAAGTAACGATGGAAGATATAGGAAAAGGGGATAATAAGGGCTAAAGCAGAATAAATCAGCCAGTTCATGGATAACTTTATTCGATATGCATTCTTCATAGACTGCAACCCAAGCAGCAAATAAAGCGTAAGAATAAATTTGTTTAAAGTTTTGAGATACCGTCCGGTCGATAGGAATTTTATCACGAAATGTATGCCTGTACTTTTTCATCATAAAGTAATATAATATTCGGGATAGAATATAAATGATGTGTGCGTATTTAGTAATATATATATAAATATATATAAAGTAAATATTTAATACGTATACACCTTTTATTACTAAATC